ACCGACACCCTTATACCTACCGGATTTCTTTCAGACTGTGGGATTTTGTTATAAAATCCCGGATGTGTCCGGAAGCTGCATCTGCTATTCTGTTGTTATGAAGATCCAGCATTGAGAGGCGCTTGCTGTTACCTAGCGACACCAACGATGGCGCACATTCATCTGTCAACCCAATATTCCGCAGACTGTTAAAAAAATAGATACATTTTTTTTTTTTTAGAAGAGGTGCACCGAAATGAAAATTTTAAACTGAAAATAAAAAGAAGTCTTCCCAAAACTGAAAATATTTTTTTTTCTAACCTTTGTACATTTAAAAAAAATATATTTTATTTATTTTTTATAAACTTTTAATTTTTTTATATTTTAATTGTATTTATTTATGTTTTATTTATGTATTTATTTTTTTAATTATTTTTTTTTATTTTTTTACTGTACTAAATAGACCCCTGCTATTTCCCTTTTAAAAAAGGAAAAAGAGATTAAGGACGCAGAGTCCACAATCTCTTTTTCTGCATCTCCTGATATAAATGCACAGGGATGCTCCATACTGAGTTGTGAGTGTTCTTGTTCATTCATACATTGTGAAGATAGTGTGTTTATCATGCCCACAATCATGAAGGAACAGGAAGTGATGTAATTCACTTCCTATTTATTCATAACTGGTACATAGTAACTCATACTATGTCCAGTTATTTACAGTCAGTGATTGCTAACTGCTTGTACCACTCTCCATCCTGACTTGCTGTCGCAGCTGGGGCGGCGGTGCAGGGAGGAGAGCTTGGTCTATATTGACAGCTGACTCCTCCCCCTCACCACCAGCTTGGGCTTCTGTGACAGCATACAGCTGTCTGCCCCCACACCACTCTCCATGCTGATCGGTCAGGGGTGGCCGAGGGGGGCGGTGCTGGAGGAGAACCTTGTTACATGCCTAGATTTTCATATCACCCTCCTCCTCCATACCGCTCGGTCTCCTCTGTCAGAGGGGGGACAGAGCAGCGCCCAGCAGGGAGGAGAGAAACTATAGATGCACCGCAATTTCGTCCGAAAGGTGACACTTTCGGCATATTGCCAAAGTGCTATTTTAGGAAGATATGTTTCGGCGGCCAAAATGTCGGTGCATCCCTAATTTTGAAGGATTATTCTTCAAAAATTGTTACATAAATGTTTTTTAGTCACTGGCTCCTCCTGCTGACCTTCACAACATTACAGGAGACAATAAAGATGTTGAAGCCAGAAGAAGGAGCCAGTGAGATCTGCAAAGGACCCAGGAGATCCACACTTTGGTAAGTGTCAGTTTCCCAGTGGACTTTGGATTAAAAAATTATCTCTGGGCAAAACTTTTCTTTTTTATGTTTGAATAAAATAGAGAAGAGTTTGTCAGATTTTATTGCTGTGTTCTCTCTGTTTGTACTGGTGACCATTGTCACCGAAAACGAAAGTGCTGAAAAATCCAAAATGTTACCATTGTCTCCAGAACAAGAGGTAAGCGGGAATTTTTCCATTTGGGACACTTGTTATTGGGACAATTGTCTAAAAGGAGAATCTCTTTTACTTGAGAGATTTCCTCTAACTTCCTGTTGTGTCTCTGGGACAGGAAGTTATGGGAAATGTTCCCAATGGTACACAAACAGCCCAAATAAAAATACAAAATCATGGCAGGGGTTTTAAACCTTCCTACTCTATCCAAAACTAAAAATGTTATGGCTATACATTCACTTTAAGAATGCAACTGAATATAATGGAGCTTGGCTACATGGACAGCAGGGAAGGCACATTTTTTCACTCTTCCTTTACAGGATATATATCTGAAATGTAATGACAGGGTCTTGTTAAGCCTAGAAACTCTCCCTTTCTTTCCCCATTCAATACATACAGCCCCCTACATACCTTAAATAGCAGGTAACCTTGACCAGCGGCTGCTGCTTACAATGGGCCAGTTGGCATTCCTGATTAACTCTACACTAATCAGAAGTATGTAGAGGATATGCAAAGCATCAAAAAGGTGAAGGGGGCTGTTATGTTTTAAGACCTAATAAGATTCATATTTAAAGGAGAACTATGGGGTTAGTGCTATTCCCCATAGTTCTCCTAAGGGTAATATGAGGAAACAAACTAGCGTCCTCCCGTTACCCTAAGCTAGCTCGCGGTATACTGAGACGCAGCAGCCGGGACAGATCCCGACATTACTGTCGAGATCCACCCAGCTGCGTGATTGACAGCTGGCTCTGCCTATTTAGAGGCAGAGCCAGCTGTACCCGCCCCCTCCCCCATCCGTTCCGCCAGTCAGCGCTGGAGGATCGGAGAAGGGAGGGGGGGGGAATCCCTTCAGGGAGCCGTGAGTGACAGTCACGGCTCTCTGTAGGGATAGATCAAGAAGTGAGCGAGCGACGGTATGTGTTCGCTCACTTTCCGATCTATTGAGCCGACCTGTAACAGTTTCATTGTCACAGGTCGGCTAGAACTATGAGGCTGAGTGATTTTCACTCGCCTCATAGTTCTCCTTTATTGAATGAGTCCTGAAATAGGCAAATCCCATTAATATTATTTAGAATATGTCAAGTGAAGATAATGGTGAGTCACCAATATACTCACTCGACAGGAGAGTAGTATGAATGGGTGTGTGTAAAAACAGGAACTGCATCCAATCATACACTGTTAATTCGCATCTGGGCTCTGGAATGTGGGGCAGAATCATTAACAGTGTCCCTGTATCAATAAGGAATCACCTTTGTTTATACTTATAGGGGAGCACTTACAGCAGTAACTATATAAATTAGGTGGTGCCTATAGTCCTGGGTATGGAGTGTCTATTAGAAAGATTAGAACTCATGTTTCCTTTGTCATGCATGCCTTAAAGTTCCATATGGATCTACTACATTCACAATAATTCACCTTTCCTGTTTGTCTTAGTCTTGGATACATTTTTATACTCACAGTAATTCCTCTATCCGGCTTGTAGTCAGAGCTTCCATCAGATCCCTGAAATGAGGACCCTCCAGATTGTTCTCAGACAGGTCCAGTCTCCTCAGTGTCCGGTTTCTTCTTATTCCAGATGCCAGGTCGGGGCAGGAAATGTCTGTCAGTTGATTATGTATCAAACTATAGTAGAAAATCAAAATTATACATTTTTGTAGCACAGTCATATGCCAGATACACATCTACAAACATTTACTAAAGGCTAATGGTACCCAAAACTGATATTTTAGCTTTGTGTGAGAACTGGTATGTTAAGCCACACAGATCTCAGAAACCTCTATAGTAAACAGTGGCCTTGGAGACAAAAAGATAAAAAGAAAAATACTAAAGAAAAAAAAGCCTAATTTAGGAATTGTTTAAAATGATCCCCAGCCAGGAGAGGGGGCTTGGAAAAACACTGGGGGGCAGGGGTTGAGCCCAGAGTGGGGTTAGCAGTTGTCCAGGGATAAGAGATCTACAGGGAACAATACATCACATACTATTGATATAGGCATGCCACAAAGTTATTTGGTTGGTAGAGGCCACTGTATATGCAGTGATTCATTGAAGACGCGATGGAGGTCCTGTGTGCGGCGGATTCGGCTCCCTGAAGATGGCGGACGCGGCACAGGTACTCGTTTTATGTATTGGAGTATTTGCACGAGTACGAGTACTCATGCAAATACTCGGTATCGCGGCCGATACCGATGCTTGTATCAGTATCGGTGCATCCCTACTTCTTATATTATTCTGTTTGGGAGTGATGTTACTGAAATAATAGAGTTAGTAACCAGTGAAAGCATTACTAGCTACTAACTCTTTTTGTTCCAGTAAAACCATTCCCACAGAATAATATAAGAAGCCCTTTTTTGAGTCAAGTTTCTCACTTTATCGTAAGACCTGATGTAAAGCCAGGGTGCCTGTGAGGGGCTCCCTGATACCCCGAATGGATATCTCTAGACATGTGCGCTGCCAAAAAATTCGTTTCGTTTCGTTTTAAATTCGGATTTGTGTTATTTCGTTTTTCAGGATTCGGGTGTGAAAGTCAATTCGGATTCGGAATTCGGATTCGGACGAAATTCGGTAGCGTTAGTACGAACGTTCGTTTCGTTTTCTGTTCTTATTCGTTTCTTATTCGTTTCGTTCGTTTGCAGCAAAAGTGACATTTGAGGGGGAAAAAATATTTTTCTCCTTCTCTAATGTCACTTTGCTCCAACGAACGAAACGAATAAGAAACGAATACGAACAGAAAACGAAACGAACGTTCGTGCGAACGCTACCGAATTTCGGAAATGGAAATTCGGATTCGTTTGCATTCGTTATGTCTGTAATTCGGAATTCGGATACATCCGAATGTCCGAATTTACGAAAATTCGTCCGAATTTCGATTCGGAACGAAACGAATCGCACATGTCTAGATATCTCCGTCTTAAGCCTGTTCCCTGAGTGCTGGAACCAGAATCAAGTGGATATAGCATGGGCTTACCCCAATAATCAGAAAACACTGACTTTGAAGTGAAAACATGAACTGGTTTATTGAAGAAAGCAAATAGAGTTTATACCTCACAGAATCAGATACGAGTTCAGTGTGTTACCTTGACCAATTCCCTCCCCCAGACAGCCGGGTGCCGCATTGGAATTCCTTAAGCACAGACACTCTTTGAAATTAATGTCCTTAATTAGATGAGAGCTTGATCACATCAACCTAAACAATGGCCACTCCAGACCGCCTTCTGCCTTCACAAAATTATGTTTAGCAGAGATGGTATCCAAACAAGATGCAGGTCCGGATGGTTCAAATCAAGTCAAATAGTGAAAAGCTCTCTCTCTAGATAAAATATTAAACAGGAAAACACACACAGCAACCAAAGTTCTCCGGGGCAATTGATCTCTGCAGACCTAGGCCCATCACAGTGTGGACATCCCAAAACACGTTGGCTACCTTTTATGTGTGAAAGTTTGGTGAGTCTAGCTTATATGGTTTCTTTGTATCTCAAAAGTTTCAGAGTGACCCTCGCATTAAAGGAATTTGGACGCTTTAACCTTTAGAAGTTTAGAAGGTACTCATTCTTGAAGGACTTTAGAAGGTACTCATCCTTGAAGGACTTTAGAAGGTACTCATTCTTAAAGGACTTTAGAAGGTACTCATTCTTGAAAGACTTTAGAAGGTACTCATTCTTGAATGACTTTAGAAGGTACTCATTCTTGAATGACTTTAGAAGGTACTCATTCTTGAAGGGCTTTAGAAGGTACTCATCCTTGAAGGGCTTTAGAAGGTACTCATCCTTGAAGGACTTTAGAAGGTACTCATCCTTGAAGGACTTTAGAAGGTACTCATTCTTGAAGGACTTTAGAAGGTGCTCATTCTTACAGGACCTTAGAAGGTACTGTAATGCTCCTTTGGATTTTGCGGGTCTAAGTGGATCACAGCTGCAGACCTATGCTTTAGGTAGTTCTGGGTATGGCAATCAGGCTGGGATCCCAGGCGTCTCTCTCAAGAGTAACTGAGAGTGAGGGATACATGCATCATTTGCCACAGAACTTAATTACGTGAGAAGAGGTTATTTAGACCTTTAGAAGTTTAGAAGGTACTCATTCTTGAAGGACTTTAGAAGGTACTCATCCTTGAAGGACTTTAGAAGGTACTCATTCTTAAAGGACTTTAGAAGGTACTCATTCTTGAAAGACTTTAGAAGGTACTCATTCTTGAATGACTTTAGAAGGTACTCATTCTTGAATGACTTTAGAAGGTACTCATTCTTGAAGGGCTTTAGAAGGTACTCATCCTTGAAGGGCTTTAGAAGGTACTCATCCTTGAAGGACTTTAGAAGGTACTCATTCTTGAAGGACTTTAGAAGGTGCTCATTCTTACAGGACCTTAGAAGGTACTGTAATGCTCCTTTGGATTTTGCGGGTCTAAGTGGATCACAGCTGCAGACCTATGCTTTAGGTAGTTCTGGGTATGGCAATCAGGCTGGGATCCCAGGCGTCTCTCTCAAGAGTAACTGAGAGTGAGGGATACATGCATCATTTGCCACAGAACTTAATTACGTGAGAAGAGGTTATTTAGCTCATAACCTTTTTAGGTATCAGGTAACTCAAGGAAGAAGAGGTTTGGATCGCTTATTCACCAGCTAAGCCTATTGAGTACAACGAAATCAAAAATAGAAATAATAATGGCTAATACCAGATGACAGTCTCAGGGTATTTATGACAGTAGCACCGTGCTATAATCAACCAGGTCCTGGTATAGGCCAGGTGTCGGCTGATAGTAACTCCTATCACCGTTCCAAGCAGAGTCTATGCAATCTATGCCAGCAGACTAGGTAACATTGCCCACAACTAGTAGTACTTGCGCTTTTAGAGGCTGGGTTCAGCAGGGTCTCCTCCAGAGTAGTCTGAGGTTGGAGAGGCCACCGTAGCAGGCGTTTCCTGGAGTGGAGAGGTAGTAGTTGGGAGTACTAAGAACGAGGCTCCTGGCGTGGATGGGGCATCAAACTAAATAGTGGAACGCTGTAACAGCGCTCAGGCGAACCTTATATACCCCTCGAAGTGGAGCCGTGGAGCGTGCTGTCACTTCTGCGTTCCACCGTGGAGCGCAAGGAACCTCCCCTTCAGGGAGGCAAACATCCCACGTGACGCGGCCGCTGCGTTCCACGCTGGGACGCAGACGGCTCGCGGACAGTACGGACGTTTCAGGTACTCATCCTTGAAGGACTTTAGAAGGTACTCATTCTTAAAGGACTTTAGAAGGTACTCATTCTTGTGGGTATAGTCTAACCAGTTTCAGTTTAAGTTGTTTGAAGTACACTCTGAGTGGCTCACCATCTATGCACACAAGGTGGCCACATCTGGTGATTGTCATCTCTTTCCTATGGTACCTTTAGTCTCATTCAGAAGTCTTAAACTTACAGTAATTCCTTTAATCTGCATTTCGGAGTTGACAAAGCTGCAATGAATTCAGTGAAATGACGACCCTCCAGATTGTTCTCAGATAGGTCCAGTCTCTTCAGTATCTGGTTATTTCTTATTCCAGATCCCAGGTCGGGGCAGGAACTGTCTGTCATTTGACACCCAACGAAACTGTGAAAATGCAAAATAACAAAGTAGACAAATATACAAAAAATAAATTACAATATAAAATAAAAATACAAAAGACATTAAGCAATACAATGAAAGTACATTCATATTAATATGAAGTCAATACAGAGTGTATGTTATTGTATGGTATAGTATGGGGTATGGCATTAGTTAGACCTATTTTTAATAGTAAATCTCAATCTCAAGAAACTACATTTATCCGGAACCTACCAATCCCTGTGGAGGCCGGATAACAGGGAGTTTATTCTATTGAGAAAACAATGACAACATATCCAGTCAGTCCACAAGTGATGCCAACAGATGTTCAACCTTTCCTGTTAGTTTAGATTTTATTATTATTATTACATAGTATTAATATAGCGCCAACAGTTTGCGCAGCGCTTTACAATATAAGGAAGACATTACAGTTACAATACAATTCAAGACAAGATGGTAAGGAGGGCCCTGCCCCTGAGGGCTTACAATCTAAAAGAGGAGGGGGAAATGATACATGAGGTAGCTGTGGTAGCTGTGGGAATGAATTATGTGAGAATGTGAAGGTTCAGTGGTTAGGTTGAGGTGGGATAGGCTTCCCTAAAGAGATGAGTCTTTAGGGAACGCCTAAAGGCAGTCAAGGTGGGAGATAGATGGACAGGTTGGGGTAAAGAGTTCCAGAGGATGGGAGAGACTCTAGAGAAGTCCTGGAGGCGAGTATGGGAGGAGTGGACAAGGGAGCTGGAAAGCAGGAGGTCAATGGATGAGCGGAGGGGACGTTTAGGGTGATACTTTGAGACAAGGTCTGAGATATATCCGGGGGCAGAGTTGTGGATGGCTTTATAGGTGACTGTTAATATTTTGAATTTTATCCTCTGGGCGAGTGGAAGCCAGTGGAGGGATTGGCAGAGGGGGGATGCAGACACTGAGCGGTTGGTAAGGTGAATGAGTCTGGCAGCGGCATTCATGATAGACTGAAGGGGGGATATCCTGTGTAGTGGAAGGCCAATGAGGAGGGAGTTACAATAGTCAAGACGAGAGATAACAATGGAGTGTATGAGTAGTTTTGCGGTGTCATTGGTGAGGAAGGGGCGTATTTTTGAGATGTTACGAAGGTGAAGGCGGCAGGATTTGGATAGCGATTGGATGTGGAAGTGTATTACAATGTTTTGTGTTTTTTTTATATTTGAAGTAAAAAAAAAAAAAACCTCCCAAAATCCCAAAATGAATCCCAACCCAGTATCTTTATTTTATGGACTGGATAGTCCTTTTTGGTCCCCAGAAATCCAGTTTGAAAACCATATTATATGTTGAGCTCTATATTTCTATATTTTGAGTTTGTGCTACACAAATATTATCATTGCAGTCAGACCTGTTATACTCACTATAATTGTTCTATCTGGCTTGTTGTCAGAGCTTCCATCACATCCCTGAAATGAGGACCCTCCAGATTGTTCCTAGACAGATCCAGTCTCTTCAGTGTTCGGTTATTTCTTATTCCAGATGCCAGGTCGGGGCAGGAAATGTCTGTTAGTTTATTATCACGTAAACTGTAAAAGGGAAACAAATAGTTGCTTTGAATTGCTGCATTATATGATCAAAAATCTGTGGACATCTGACCATCACACCTATATGAGCCTGTTGGATGTCAAATTCCAAATCATGGATTAATGAAGAATTGTGGTTATAATTCCTTTGAGGTTATAACAGACTCCACTCCTCTGGGAAGGCTTTCTAAGAGATTTTGGAGTGCATCTGTGTGACTTTGTGCCCCTTCAACCAATGGAGCATTTGTGAAGTCAGAGGTACTGATGCTGAATGAGAAGACCTGGCTCACGATCAGAATCCAATTCATTAAAATGGTGTTTAGCAGGGTTGGGGGTCAGAGGACTCTGGGCAGGTTACTTGAGTTCTTACACAACAAATCGGTAGAACCATGTCTTTATAAAACTGGCTTTGTGAACAAGGAACAGTCACGCTGGATCAGAGAAGGGCATTCCACAATCTGTTTAAAAATGACAGAAATGTTGACTTCTGAAGAGACTTCAGGGGATGATTTATCTTTAACGGAGAGGAGTACGAGGTATGGGAAGATGGAGAGGTAAGTATCCACTATATTCGTTACAGGAACCATATTTATTTACAGTTTCAGTTTAGTGGCAGAGTCCCTTTAATTAAGTGTACCCTGATGCCCCAAGGCCAGGTTCCTCAATGCGCCCTCCCCGCCAAACTCCCCCCCCCATAAAGAATGGCATTAAACAAGTTACTGCCAGGTGCCTGGCCCTGCATGTCCCGGGCGTCGGGGGATTCCACACCCCTTCCGCCCCTCTGCCCCCTGAGGCCGGGCCTCGATGACCTAATGGCAAATCCGGCCCTGAGTATACCATTATCAATATAATATTTGTTTATGACGTGAAGCTGTCCCAGAATGTTATTGTCTCAGCCAGTCCTGTTACACTTACCGTAATTCCTCTATCCGGCTCATTGTCAGAGCTACCATCAGATCCCTGAAATGAGGACCCTCCAGATTGTTATTGGACACTTCCAGTGTCCTCAGTGTCTGGTTATTTCTTATTCCAGATGCCAGGTCAGGGCAGGAAATGTCTGTCAGGTGATTTTGATGCAAACTGTAAATATGTAAAAAGTATTAAAAAATATATCTTCAAGGCATACATTTTGAGTCTCTGTTTCATTAGTGGAACATATTTTTATATTTGTTGTTATTAATCATTAAAGGAATACTATGGGGTTAAGGCTTTTCCCCATAGTTATCCTTAGGGTAACGGGAGGACACAAACTAGCGTCCTCCAGTCACCCTAGGCTCAGCTCGCGGTATACTAAGACGCTGCAGCTGAAGCGGATAGCGACAATTATGTCTGGATCCGCCCAGCTGCGTGACTGACAGCTGCCTCTGCCTACCTAGAGGCAGAGCCAGCTGTACCCGCCCCCTCCCCCGTCCGTTCCGCCAGTCAGCGCTGGCGGATCGGAGCGGGGAGGGGGGAATCCAGCCCCTCCCCTGTCATGGCAGAGAGCCGTGACAGGATCGCTGACCTCCCGATCTACTGAGCCGACCTGTGACAGTCTCATTGTCGCAGGTCGGCTAGAACTATGAGGTGAGTGAAAAGCACTCACCTCACAGTTCTCCTTTAACAGGTTAGTTCTCCTAAATCAAGACTGTAGACTAAGCAACAAGAGGATTTTCGCCATGGAATGTGATCTACCTCTTCATGAGCTAGTGAAAGGGCTTCAGACCCCTTAATGATTCACTTTGTGACTACCTTGTAATGGTTTCTCCATCCATTTAACTCTGCTGAACAAGCTACTAGGACCTACAAAAGGACCTAATTTTATTGATTGACCAAGGTTATGCTTATAGGGAAAAATTGTTAAAACTTCTAATTTCTTTGCTCTTATAATGAAATACTATTCTTTATTTTATTAGGTTAAGACCTCAGAATGATGTACACAATTATATCACAGTAGGTATGTGGGTCTTATTTTTGTCACTGTCTCTTGAATGATGAACATTTCATTGGGAAGAAGTATTTGAAAGAGAATATGAAGGTTTGATATATTTAAGCATGAAAAAATAAAGTTTAAAAAAGTGTAAGGTTTCCAGCTGAGCCTTGCAGATATTGTATGCTTGGATTAGTTCCTTTCTAATTTCATTAAGAACATTGTACCTGTCAAGCATAATCTGAACACAACTAGAAGTCATTATTCGCTTTTAACTGGACTTGTTCTGTAAAGTTGAAGACATATCCCCATTCATCTAAGCTGATGACCATAAGGTGCCACATTTAGACAGAGAAGACAATTGACTCACAAAAGGCAAGAAAGAGGGCATGTACTAGAACAAGCATTCCTAAGCAGGGGTGGAGGCCTTCAACAACCCATGTCCCCCATATATAATGCTGTTTTAACATGGGCAATCAGTAACGGCCTTGGCTGACTTTTTCTGGGAAAAACTCCTTGAATATATTTCCAACACTTATAAGAACCAAAGACATTTGGGCAAGTGGTGAAACATCATTAACATTACAAAACCAGCACGGTTCAATTTGACTAACTAACTACTACTAGCTATACCATGACCTGGATAAATGAGACCGTTCACAGACTAACTGGCCCACACTTTGAAGATCATTTTTGCCTTTCTCTGGGTCAACTAGGACTTCTAAGGATAAATGGGGGGGGTGATTTTGAAAGGAAACCTAGAAACTTAATTTTAACACAAATTAATAATTTAGACATAAAGGTTACTTCAAATTCCTGATGGCCAATAAAGCCGGCACAAGTTTCTTCAGCCCTTCATTCTGCACATTGCATCTAATTAAATTTACTTCTTCTATCTCTCTGCAGGATTGAAGGATAAAAGACAGCACGGAGCAGTCCAGAGGGCTGAGGGGGACATCAGAAAAGTCAACTTTGTTTGATCCAACACATTGTGACACCAGAGCCTTATTCCTGCTCTCATGGAGATAGTAGAAGACATTAAGAAGATCTCTCTTGTAACCTTGTTCTTGTCCCATTTTCATCTGGATCCAGGTGATGACATGTCTGGCAGCCTGATTAGACAATTTTCCCACATGAGACTTTAACATGGATCTAGTAGAAGAGTGTGAGAGACCGCAGAGGAAACGGAGAAAGATTTCACCACGGCCATCTTTGTAAGATTCAGCATCATCAAGTGTTTCCTGTAATGTGTCCGGATTATAGTTCATGAAATGGACTAAAGCAGCAAAAAACTCCTGAAGAGTGAGATGTAAGAAGGTGTAATCCACATCAGGAGGCTGACCAGATTCCATCATGAAACATGAAAAGAGATGTTTATCATTTCTCACACTGAATGAGTCCAGATGACGCTCATCAAATACAATCATGTGATTCATGACTCCATGTTCTGCCATCCACCCAATAGATGTCAGCAGTTCCCGGGCAGGGTGACCACCATCTTTATTCTGGTTGTGATTGGCCAGCATGTTGGAGACAAAAGTCACAAAGAGTTGTGTCACTGTTTTGGGCATTGATGTCATCAGCTGATCAGTGATTGTTGGTTGGGCTCTGAAGCACATTGATAACACTGTACAGATGATCCAGCAGTATGATGGGATATAACAGAAAGTGTACAGCGTGTCATTCTCCTGCACATAATGAAAAGCCTTTTCTGATAATTCCTCATTTCCAAAGAAATATTTGAAATAGATCAGTCTGTCTCCATGGAGAAATCCCATGATGTCAGATATTCTCTGGAAGACACCAGTATCAACTGAGGCCAGTCTGGTTGGGCGGCTGGTGATCAGTACAGAGCAACCCTTAAGAAGATTCTGTCTTACCAAATTGGACAAAATACTGCTATAATCTTTCCTTAATTTTGGATCAGACAGTGTGCTTGATCTGAAATCCAATTGGTGAACACTTTCATCTAAGCCATCAAATATGAACAGAAGACTCTCTGGATGTTTTAAAATATCTCCAATATGACTCCTCAGATACGGATATTGTTGAAGAATCATCTCCTCCAAGCTGACCTCTCCCAGTCTATTAAGGTCCCGGAATCTGAAGAAGAAGAGAAAAGCAAATCTCTGGTAGTGTTTTCCGGTCACCCAGTCATAGACAAACTTCTGCATCAGTGTGGTCTTCCCTATTCCTGGAACTCCGCTCACCATTACTGCATGTGGTGCACATTGTGACTGGTGGCTCCAGCGGAACAGCCTGTTGGGGGAAATGTGTTCTAGTCCAGATTGTGTTTTCTTCAAGCATTCCTCATGTCTCTCCCCGGTCTGTATTAGCTCATTCTGGGGACGTTCCCTGAACTGATCAGAGGAGACTACAACCAGCTTCACATAACGCTCATTGATGAGGAATCTTTGTGGTTCCAGGGTAGTTCCTGGGGGTCTGTGCTCCACTAGAATCTCAGTCCTCTCCATCAGATGTTGTTTGTGCTTTATCTGAATTTCTGTGAATATAATGGAAATATTTTGTGATTTATATATTCCTCTGTTAAAAGAAAATTATGTCATAGTCTTTACCTTTTCTCATAAACAGGGTATACTTTACAATGTAAATTTCAACATTCACTAAGCTAAAGGAAAATTCCAATGCAATCTGCAAATTCCCTTGCACAGTAAACAGCCTTTTTGCCTTTAGCACGTCAATCCCATTGTGACTTAAAATTGAAAGTAAATGTCTGGAGTTACCATTTACATTTTTAAATTCACAGCTCATATGGAAATCATACCAAATTGGGTCTGATTTAAAAAAACAAACAGTGCTACAGATAAAATTTCTGTTGTGAACAGCAACCAATTAGTTCCTTGAAATGTATGAATAACAGAAAATAATTTTTCTTTCTGATAAATTGGTGTGGACGTTTTGCTGCTCAGGTGTGAAGAGGCTCATTGAAAATCATGAGATTTCTTAAGTCGGGCCTTTTAAAGCACTTTTTTTACTGCTCAAAATTGCCTAGGTGTGAACAAGGCCTTAGTGTTGATGGAGGAATCTTTTATATTTTCTTCATTCAGCCCACAGGTTGAACGAAGAAAATACAACCGTCTATACCCTACTTATATCTCTCAGTAGCTGTCGTGCAAACAATTACTATAAATGGTCCTGAAGAAGTACTTCACTATGAGTTTGTTGGTCTACTTACCAATTTAACAAGTCATTCCTCCCAGTCTGTGAACTAGGAACATGCACAGTCGCACATTTTAAGTTCTCTGCTGTACGTTTATTGAACTTTCTTAAGGCAAGGGGCAATTTACATTTGGACTTAGAAGTGGTATTCCAGTTAAAGCCTATTGCAAACTTCAAACCACTTTAATGTCATCTTACAAATGCATTCTGCCTAAATGGCAAAATGTCACTAGAAACTCCCAATTTTCACAGAAATTGATAGGAAATGTAATTACATTCATCCATATTCATGACCTAAATCCAAAGTCAAACCAATAAATAAAAAAAAAATGATTTGGCTTTGAAAGGCATCAGTCAGATTTCCTAAACTGAAACTAAACTCCGGAGTTAAATCTTAAAAATGGATTCAAGTACCTTAACTATTAACAAAACTGTACTTGTAACAAAAACTGTAGCTGTAGATCCTCAAATCATCTCTGAATGGGTGCTGACACTGTCCTTCCTTCCGGAGGGGGGCTACTTTTGTTCCCCATGGTCCCTGTGTGTGTTGTAAAGTAGTCACCGCCCCAAGCTCGCTCCGGTGATGAACTACAATCTCAATACAAATGAGTAAACTAAACATGAGATTGTAGTCCATCCTGGTAGTGAGCTTGGAGCGGTGACTACTTTACAACACACACAGGGACCGTGGGGTACAAAAGCAGCCCTCCTCCAGAAGGCAGGACAGTGTCAGCGCCAATTCAGAGATGATTGGAGGATCTACAGCCGAGTGACACACAAATAAGAAACATTGTGTAACGGCTGGGTTAGGTTTGGGTATGTGGATCGCAACTGCGGAGGCTAATCAGACGGAACCCTGGTTTCACTCCCAATCTTAACGGGGAGTTAGGGTTCAAGCATCACAGCCAAATAAATAAAAGGGTATGAGTGTAGAAAGGGATATTACTGCATATGCACAATCTCAATATAATAGTACCAATAAACCGGTATTGATTTGAGGATGACAAGGAGTTGCAGGAGTGCTGGTAGCTATAGTTAGAATCAGTGTTGTAGTTCCCCAACAGCCCAGTAGATGGAGCACAGGAGCTAATCCAGGTTCCCAGTTTACACAGCAATTATCGTTTAAGCTGAAGTGCAATATGCCCAAGTACTTGCGGTTAAGTTGTAGTAATAGTGTGCAGGGGTCCAGGAGGATTAGGTCCACAGAGGTTGTAGCTGGCTGTAGCAGAGCAGGAGAGCTGTGGGGTCCCAGGAGACAGCAGGCGTTCAGTCTTCAATTGTGGAATGCCATACTGTCTCACTGGGGCGTTTATATAGGGGCAGAGGCTGGGGGAGGAGCCGCTGATCGGGGCGGCGCACTTCCGCTTCCCATGGTGGAACGCATCCGACGTCCGAACCCGGAAGTGGATGTGTGCGCTCCACCCTGGGACGCAGACGGCCGGCGGCGAGAAGCGGCGGAACCGTGCACTCCCTGGACTCTAGGTGAGCGCTGTCTGCGGTTCCCGTTACACATTGTTGACAAAAGTTAAGATACGTGAATGTATTTTTAAGGTTAAACTCCTGGGTTTGGTGTCACTTTAATTGAATGTTCCATACATATTCTTTACCTTTCAGCTCTGGAGTCAGTGAACAGCCATGTGTATCCAGCAGAATCTGCTCCACCAGACTCTCACCTTAAAAAAAATGAAAAAAACAAAACATTGATCATATGTGTTTAAAGCAGAAAGTGCCCATAATAAAAGTTTACCATTCTTTCTGTTTATTTTATTTTATACGTGGGCAGCACAGGGACGTAGTGGTCAGCGCTTCTGCCTTGCAGCACCGAGGGTTCCCGGTTAAAATCCTCACTATCTGCAAGGAGTTTGCATGTTCTCCCTGTGCTTGCATGGGTTTCCTCCGGGTACTCCGGTTTCCTCCCACACTCCAAAGACATGCTGGAAGGTTAAAAGGCTCCTCTCTAAGTTGGCCCTCTATGTATGCATGTTGAATAGGGTCCTTAGATTGTAAGCTCCTTGAGGGTAGGGACTGATGTGAATGTGCAGTATGTAAAGTGCCGTGTAAATTGTCAGCGCTATATAAATAAAATAATTATATTATGGGGAATGTAACAGAAAGAGCTGGAATACACAAAGGTGGGTGGGAAAACCAAAAACTCCCAGGTAGACAGGAACAAAGTCAGGAAATATGATAGAGGGATCTCTCTGATGGAGCATCCGAGACATATAAGAAGCCAGGGCCTGACTAGGCCTACCAGGATCAGCCTATAAATAACACTGTGACACTACAGGCTGAATATTTAAATTAGAAGTCTGGCCAGGCTATGGATATTCACACATATGCATACTCTAAACAAACAGTCAATGAGCTAAAACATAAAAAAAACCCTCACTGATCTCTGTAGCTGCAGGTATTGTGGAATATTTTTTTCTCAACGTTCACAATACAAGCATTGAAGTCATTGGGTCTCAAGGCTCTTCCATCTCCTCTTCTTGTACACCTGCTCTGTTTTTTGTAAATACATTCTTTATTTAGAGGATTCACATAAAACAGAACCAAAGGAGGTGTAAAACATAACACCTCACTTAAAGGTATAGGTAAGTCATTATATATTCATAAGACAGTTAGAGTGACAGATAAGATACAACTGAGGAGCATATCAAGGTATCCCTGTGTATACCAGTTTGTAAGGGTCATTGAGTGGCTAAAAAACCCCAATATTTGGTTAGGTCCACCTTTAGGGCATTTCTGTATCTACATAAGCCTCACCATACATGTTACAATCTGACCCGACCAACTGGTTTGCAGCATTCTGGCTTGGCTGCCATTCCACCCACCTGTGATTCCTCCTTTGCCTGAGCAGACTGTGTAACGCTACTCACTACTCCCAGGCTCCCTCTTATGGCCAAACAGGAGAGCATCATCTGAGAGGGCCAGATGGGAGTTTCCTGTCTCCGAGTGAAGATGTCATCCCACTTACTATTTAAACCTCTCAGTCCAGTCTGACCTTTTGTGGGCTTCCTGCTACTGCATTCCTGCTGCTCTGAGTATTCTGATTCCTGTATAACCCAATCCTGGCTGACGTTCTCCTCTGGCTCCTGCTCCTGGCTTATTTCTGACGACGCTGACCTCCATGTTCCTGACCTGGCTTGTATGACTACCCACTCCAGCACCTGACCTTGGCTTGTTCCTGTTTATGATTTTTGCTTGCTCCTGTGGACACTTTTATTAATAAAGTATTTTTAACTAGCACCTTATGCTTGTCTGGTTTTCATTGTGCTCTAACAGTACAGTCCACTTTAGATGTACCAGAACTATGAAATATAAGAACATACCTAAATTATGCAATCAATTTGTATCCAATCAGGGAATCCCAGGCACTGCATACTTGTTGGTGGATCTAAAGCAGATGATTCAATTACATTGTAATGTGTATGGTGAGTATTAGAGGTAGAAAGGCTGGCAGGCTCAGGGGGAGGAGAATAAACTGAGCTGTTAAAATTAAACTAAAGGTATTTCTGCTATAAACTATGAGTATAAATTGCTCCACAGTGCCTGTAGCTACTGAGGTAAGTGAAGGTTAGCTATAAAGCTTATATGCTTGTTATGAATATGTCAGGATATGAATGTCTGTACCCTGACCACAGGTCTACGTTAAATTCTTGCATACAGCATTTCTTTTTTTCATACAGTTCATGACCCAAGAATCCAGCCAATCTTGATTCATCAATCTGTAATGCACAGGGCAACCATCAGAAATTTTGTGGCCCCTTACACGGCTTTAGGCTGCCACCCCTGCGCGCCGCTGGATGCAGGGCTTAGTGACGCGCTGGACACAGGGCTTAGTGACGCGCTGGACACAGGACCCTGCAGAGCCCACCATAGTTGCTGCACAGCCCATCTGAGACTGTCTATGGTGGGCTCTGAAGGGGTCTCAGGTGAGCTGGTCAGGGCTGCATCCCTCCCCTTCCTCCTTTCCTTCCTTCCTAGCTCCTCTTACCTGAACACATGGCCTCGTCTGCCACCGGACCGGCCAGAAGTCACTTCCGGCCAGTCCGACATCAGATGAGCAGCGTCGCTGATGTGGCCCTAGCTTGTCTCAAAGCCGCTGGAGCGGCAATGCTGGGGCCCTGCGCGGCAAGGGGCAGGCCTCTGCCTCCTCGCCCTTCACAGTCGGCCGATAGTCATGTAAGGCTGCCCAGGCCCCTTACATTAGTATCGGCCGTACCCCCCTGATGGCTGCCCTGGTCGTGCATGTAATTATTTTCAACTCTAACCAAACACTGTGTATTGGACATGGACCGAACCATTTCATTCTCCTCCCCTGTAATATTTGAAAGATCCGGTTACCTGTCTGGCTGATTTCCCCCAGAATGGACAATAAATTAGGATGAGGATGTGCTTTGTGCAGCGCATAGAGACATTTCCAGAGTCCAATCACAGCTTCTCTTCCCCGATCCCGAACATCTTGTAACAACGTGGTAGAGAAGGAAGAAGGCCCCAGTTCTTTTTTTAATGATCGGTAGTTCTGAAAAACAAGTAGAATATTTATTGTTTATAATTTTTTGTCATTAGGACAAGAAAAAGGGGTGAATCTCCCCAGACAGATGAATAAAATCCCAAACAACTATATAAAAAAAGTTGTGGGGCTAAACTATAATTATTTTATTGATATACACAGATGTGAACAAACTCCAATTACCCGAAATATTCTTATAGGTATGTGTATGGTTCTATGTATGGTTTGTAATCATATATGTACGAAGTGGCGTCCCGAGGCTGGGTGTCATATGTACGTGAGGAAAAGCCTATTTGCTAACTCTGTATCCTTTTCTAAATCCTCTTTTCTTGACCCTTCTCATGTCTGCATGGGACCTCAGCTAACTAGGGTATACATCCCTGCATACCTCTTTTCTCTGACAAAAGTCCTTGTTTCAGGTCACACCACTGTTCTCTGTTCTTTGAATAATTTATCTTATACTTACCAGTTCCCACTCCTGATCTGGAGGGACCTTATGTTAGGAGTATTTCTACCTGTAAGGAGCACTATATAGTGCCAGGTCTGTTCTTCCAGGCCTTGTCATAAATTGCTGCCTTGTATTCTCATGGTAGCTTTCTACTTTTTAACACATCTATTGGTTCTCATGGTAGGCAGGACTTGGCAGGTATTTTGACATGGTCTACTTTCTCTTTTCCCTTTTAAGTTTTTTGACTTAGTTGCTTCTACTCAGTTCTAGGTAAGAGATGTCCTATGTGACTTCCGATCCTTGATATAGGATCCTGTGCCATGGGATCCATGGAGCTAAAAGTCCTTATGCCCGTTCTTTCACCTCCTCTCTGGTGTCTGACAGCATATTGCTGTGGCTTCCTCCTCATTGAGGCTGGCCAGTTGCTTAGCAACTGCCTATAGTCTGGCTAATAATGTGTTTTGGGGAAAAGCATTCCTGGATGGTGGCTAGGCAATTGGCAGTGCTACTTCTATAATTGTGATTGGAGGAGTGTTTGAGGGCATGAGTTAATTGGCACTTCCAGTGGCACCCTGTTTTCTGTTCCTGACAGGTTGTTTTTTTGAGGGTGTTCCTCTTTTTTTTGCTTCTCTACAGGCTGCATGTTCTTTATGTACAGTTTGATTTTGTATGTATTTTACTGATATACTATGCAAAAAGGAGTAATTGTATGTCTAATTTCCATTGCTAGATTATCAGGTCATTCAAGTTGACAGTATTCTCCTTTGTTGCACACAGTATCATAATTCCAGATCATCTCATATGCACTGAAGGTCATGTCAGCACCACATGGGCTCCATCTTTCACAGTCATCAAAATTCTCCTTGTTGTCCCTAAAATGGGATGTGCTCTGTTTGTGGTGCCCCCGAAACATTTCCTGAAACTGACTAAAGAAAAGGAGATTGAAACTTGACAGGTGAGATCTTATGTTTATCAATCTGTTGCTAAGAGCATGCATGGCTAATTCCCCTCCAGAAAGAGGAGATACTTTCATTGGTGGACCACAAGTACTGCATATAATATGTTTTTTTTTTGCGCACACCACTGCAACATGGTGGTATGAACCGAGCCCATTTGGAACAGGTCCCCCAACGCATTGGGTGTGAATTGGCCCTAAAAGCATTTTGATAATTGTTTTAGAGTATTCTCCTTTGTTTATGAAAACTGTCTACCCATTAATGCCTTTACCTTAGCGTCACATGGTCTCATGGTTCACTAGGCTCTCAAAATTGTAATTGCCTCAAAAACGCACAAATAATGATCAGTCACTTTGCCTCTACCATGTCTCCCTGCAGTTATTAACAGAGAAAATATCGTCCGGAATTTTTTTTTTATAGATGACCATATTAAATTAAGAAAAATATTAAATACAAAGGTCCCAAAATTCACAAGGATCAGGACTTTCCAACAGGGTTCAGAAAACCAAAAACACCAATGCAAGTCTGATTACATCTGTTCACATCACTTTATGCTTTGCCTTTCTCGCTCCTAATTTGGTTGCAGCCTGTATAGAAATACATGTATCTTACTTCTGCATGTAAGACGTCCCGAAATTTTAACTGCATCAGTAGGGCATGGTTGTCTAAGTTCTCCAGAATGTCTTTTAGGTCATCACTGTAATATTCGTATATCATGCTCAGTGATGAATCGGGATAAGCAGACAGCTGGCTGCAGAAACCTCTGATTTCCTCTATAGAAACACACAGAAAAAGACAATTTTATCATATACCATGTTGTTTTCAAATTATATATTATAAATGCTGCAAAAAAAACAAAAAACGAAGCCGTGAGGTCCAAGCAGCTTTGGGCCCATCCATTGCTCTACCCTGGCAGGAACTCTATAGAGGTCACTCATAAATCAACAATACAAATTTAGTCCTAGTGTGTTAGAGACAGTACCATTACTTTTAATCCATCTACTCCATCTACCATCTACTTTATGGGGCAGGAAGTCTTATCACGTTTATAGCATTTCCTCCTATGGAGAATTACATATCTTGCAGGTAGTATTGAGTTGTGGAACTTCCTTGGGAGATCACATGTTCATAGGAAG